ATGCTAACAGAGGTGACCAAGGCGAGGTGGAATTCCACACATGCTGGGGTATTTTACCTAGTGAGGATTTGAGCTCACACCAGGTCACCCTCAGAGATGGGGTTCAGACTGCCCTATTCAAGAGAAGAAACTGGGAGAAGATACAGCAGAAAACCTGCCTTAGAGAAGGAACAGAACACTGTGGTCTGCTGACCTGTTTTACACCATGACCCCCTTGAAACCCATATTCCGAGGTGAGCACCAGGCTGCTGTACACCCACTCCCTCACCTCCCAGCAGGATTTTGGGCTCTCTCCTCCTCCGTCCTGGTGAGATGAAACAGGGAGTCTTGAGAACCCAGTTCGAGCTGTGCTGGATGCTCATGGGCACAAGTCCAGTTGCAACATCTGGTGGCTTGGGAGGGGTGCTGGCCTGAAGCTTGGAAAACTGTGGTGACATCCTTGTCCTCACGAGAGGTAGCCTTCTACTGCACTTCCTCTGGAAGCTCCTACACCACCCAAGCTGACCTCTGTGTTAGTGGTGGGATCATGAATCAGAGGATGTAGGGCCCAAGGCCTTGGGCCTTCAAAAGAAGCGGATGAGGGCATCAGTACCCTGAAAAGCAGAGGCCCATACTGGTTCTAGTGCTTTGTCTCCTTTAATTTCCTCAGTCTTGGATCTCAGATTAGTGTGAGAGCTCTGGATGCCACACTCCTGCTTGCACTGGCTCTTAAACTTATAAAGCTAACGGCACAGATTTCCAGGTCTTCTCTTAAGCCTGGTTGTTCCTGTCCAGACCTAGAATCTTAATTTTTTTTCTTTTCCTCTGCCTTTGCTTCTTCCTGTCTTCCCTGTTCTCTCCCTTTGGCCTCACTTTCCCTTCTTTCTTCCTCCACCCCCCTTTCTCTCTCTTTCCTAAAAATTGACTTCTTCAGGTGTTTTTCACTGATTGCTTAGGAAGAGTTGGGGAGAAGCGGTGTTTGCGAGCACCAAGGGTTTTCTGTCATGATCCTCTGGCTGTGTCCCAATGCCTCCTGGCTTCCTGGACCAAGTTCGATGTCTCGCTCATGCATCCAAGTCTTTGCAAGAGTACTAGGATCTCGAGGGAGGAGGGCTGAAAGGTCATGGTGAATGGCCCCCCGGAGGAGGAGGAGTTGGAGGGGACGGGAAGCCTGAGACTAGCATTATAGGAGAGAAGGGAGGGAAAGGGAGGGCAGCACAACTCAGGGAGGAAGACAACTTGGATTCTGTGTGTACAGGTGTGTCAGGGGGAGCAGTGCACTGACCCTGTCCCTGGAAGGACCTTCTATTGCAGTACTGGGGCAGGGGGAGAAGCACCAGATAAAAGGAGTAAAGGAAAGTGGAAGAGAGCTGCATTTAAAGGAAAAGCTGCTCTGGCCAGCACAGGCATGCTACCTCAATTTTTCTAAGTCTCAGTGTCCTCATCTGTAAACTGATGACCTCAGTATTAACTATTCTTTACCATAGTGTCTGAAGATATTAAAACCGGGCTAGTGTAGGCTGAAACTTCAAAAATCTTATCTCCTCCTCCTCCCTTTCCTCTTCTTCCTCTTTATCTTTTACTAAAAACATCTGGTTGAGCTGCAGATGCAGCCCCATGGCAGAGCACTTGTCTAGCACGTGCAAGGCCTTGGCTCCAATCCCCGGCACCCCTCCCAGTCCAGATCAAGCTTGTTACAAACTCTAGACTTTGTGCACAAAGGTAAGCAAATTTTAGCTGTGAGAGACATTGACCTTGAGCTAAATTTTATGAATGTCTGGACATAGATGTTGTCCTTAAATTTTCTGGATATGAACACCTTCCCACTGTAGCCCAGTGCATCTGATGTCAACAGCTGGTACTGTCTGGGTCCTGGTACCAGGCAGTGCTGGTCTTCTGGATAAGGGGTTTGTGAAGTTAAGCTCTTATGAGGAGGAGGGGAGGAGTCTCTTGCAGCTTTGGATCTTCTCTGCCTCTTTTCTCAGTCTATTTTATGCTGATTCTTGGGCATCTCATTTATCTATGTTGCCTGTGCTGTAGATTTGATCTCAGGTAAACTCCCAAGGCCCATGTGTTCAAGGTCTGGTCCTCAGGGAGCTGTGATTGTAGGTGGTGCAAGCTTTAGGAAGTGAGGCTTCATGGGAGGTCTGTAGGTCAATGGATCATGTCCCTGAGGACCACAGTGGGGTCCCTCTTTTTTCTCCTTTTCTTTTGCTTCCTGGCCATTAATAAAGGGTTTTGCTCTGCCCCACCATCCCAACATGAGGGACTGGTTGGCCACATATCCAATAGCAACAGGTCTGCCTGACCATGGTCTGACATCTCCAAAACACGAGCCAAAGTAAACCTTTTGTGTCTGTTAATTTATCTCAGGTATTTGCTACAGTGATGAAACACTGACTAATATAATCAATGCAAGTCTGCCTACATTTATTGACATCTTTTCCAAAAGCGGAAAAAAAAAAAAAAGGGGAAGAACAGCACATTGACTCACCAAGCCCATGGTTGTGCTGCTGATCTTACTATTTGCAAATGTAGACCGGTGAGGAAACCACATGGATCCCCTGTTTGCTTTCGGTGATGATCCATGCCTGTGAATAACGGAGAGTTGATTGGCTAAAGGGATGAGGTGGTGATGGCTTGTTTTACTAAATTTGGTTTTAGTTCTATTGGAAGCTCCTTTGGCTTCTTTACCCACAACACCAGGCCTATAGATTTGTTACCTTTATCGGGTTTTTTTATACGCTTAATCATAAATATTCAACCTTTTTTTCTTGTTTCATTTTTTTTTTAGTACTAGGAATTGGACATAGGGTCTTCACTCTGAGCTATATCCCAGCACCTTTTAAAATTTTTTATTTCAAGATAGAATCTTGCTAAGTTGCCCAGGCTGGGCTTGAGCTTGCAATCCTCCTGCCTCTGCCTCCCAGAGTGCTGGTGTATATTTATCCTTTAAAAGTGGCATTACTGTGTCTCTAATGTGAATTGAAATTGCTTCTGCTGTAAAGGCCTCATCTCTCTCAAATTCCCTGGGACTCTGTTTCGGTTCCCAGAGCCTAGCAATTCTTTGCACATCTTTAAACCTGCACACAGTACTTCTTGCTTCCAGACATCTGTCTTTCTTGCAAAGCTGCCTGCCCTGCTCAATTGCAAACAGTGGGGAAGGGATCTGTATTGGTGGCCTATTGTTCTATCCTGGCTGACCCTGGAAGACATTTGTAATGTGTTTTTTAAGTTTTAGATTTTAAAGAGAGTATTTACAAGGTCAGCTGTTTAATGTTTTTTTCGCTAATTAGACTAATCCCTTACAGTTTGCCTGTCCTTTGTGTTTTATATTTATTGTGATCTATACAACGCACACAAAACACATAAAGTCTTTACTATGGTAAAAAAAAAAAAGTAATAACTAATTAACTGCGTTATTGAGTTCCTCTTGGCCAGGGTCATTTTAGCCACATGGTCCTCTCTTCCCTTCTTGTTTGGTGTTGAAGCCTCCCCTGGCCTGTGCCTTTGGGGCATGAGTAATTAATAAGCCTTTGTTCCCCATGGGTCCCATTCCCCAAGCCCTTCCTTGAGTGATGGATTGGAAGAAGCAGAGGGTCCAGGGGTTCATTCTCCTCTCCCCTTAGGGGCCTTGTGGTCTCTGTTGGATCCCAGGCCTCAGATTTGCAGAATTCTTTATTCCCCAGCTACACTGGGTGGCCAGGGCTGCCTGCCTTGCTCCCTACAGAGTCATGAGTAAAGAACATGTCTCAGGGAGGGAAAAACTGCCTACCAGCTGGGCTCCACTGAGATCTACCCTGGGTTACAGGATTCCTGGAAAGATGATGTCCAGAACCAGGGCCGTGGTCTTTGTAGGGCTAACTAGGTTCTGATGTACCACTGCCATCTGGTTTTCCCTGGAGATATTTATGTTGTATGAAATCAGTCTACCATGCAGACTCATCTTACTGAGAAAATGTGTGCAGATGATTTAATTTAATGACTTAGTTCAATTGAATGGCTTCCAGTGGCATAGTAATGTGTTTTGAGAAGTTAGAGAGAGAGAGAGAGAGAGAGAGAGGAGAGCTGGTTTCCCATCTCATTCAAATCATTTTCCATTCCTCAGGGGGAGGAAGCAAAGTCTGAGAATCCAGCAGAATTAATGCAGGTTACCCATTACTTCATTTTATAATGTTTGGCAAGGAGAACATGTTAAGTCAGTTAAATCTATTTATTTGGCTCATCCACGCACTCCGTGTAGATGGGGCCTGGATTGGAGGGGACAGTGAAATATATTTCTGCTGAGATGTCTTCCTGGAGAGAAATAAGTCTGTTTTATAAGCAGGGCCGGCAGCACCTGGATTCGAACTTGCTTACCAGGGACCTGAGGGTTCCTGGAACATCATGCGGAGGACTGACCGAGAAGACCCTCTTTGACCCCACAGATTGTGATGGAATCTCTGCTTGGGGTCACTGGGGTTTATTCCTGCTCTGCTGTTTGCCAGCAGTGTCTTCGGGCAAGTCACGAAACCGCTCTGAGCGTCCCGAGAATTCCCGACTTCAGAGGATTGTCGCGAGAACCTCACGAAACAGCAGATGGGAAAGCGCTTCCCGATCTGTGAGATCAGGTAACGACGTGTTGTAAAAATGACTCTTAACGCCACAGCGGGAAGGCGTGTTTTCGGCTAGCACATGTTAGCAGGGAGAACAGAGGATACGCGGGGTATCTGGATTCTCTGAAGAAAAATATCACCTTCCCTGGCCTGTTACAAATGGCAAGACTGGGATTGTGAGGGAGGAGCAGCGGGGAACCCAGTGCAATAGGGGTGTGGCAGACACACACTGTTTGTGCCACAGTGAAACCAATTACCGTGTGTGTGTGTGTGTGTGTGTGTGTGTGTGTGTGTGTGTGTGTTACTGCGGACGGAACCCAGGGAGTCCTGAGCTACACCTCCAGTCCTTGTTTGTTTGTTTTTGTTTATTTATTCATTTGTATTTTTGAGACACGATCTCTCTGTGTAGCCTTGGCTGGCTTCGAACTTGCAGTGATCCTTCTGCCTCAGCCTGCTGGGATTACAGGATGCATCACCTTGCTGGCTTCAGGAAGAGAGAGAGTAGGGTGCCTGCAGGGCCAGAAGAGAATCTCAGTTCTAATGACCTTGACATCAGGTGACCACGATCTGGCCAGACTGTGTTAGTGCTGACTTGTAGGACTTTGTTGCTTCAAGCATCACCTCCCTCCAGTTAGCATCTGCATTTTGGGGAAGAGAAATCCTGGAGGTGAAAATTGATACAGTGAGAACATAGCAGGCAGGATTCTCACTCAGCTCTAACTCACTTTAGAACTCACACCCATAACAATTTTTTTTTAAATTAAGGGAGAGATATAGGCAAGGTTTTCTTTTCCTTCTTCTCTGGAGGTCCCGGCATAGGAACTTGCTTTTCTTTTATGAACCATTGAAAAGAACCATTATATACATGTACCAGCTCCTTATGTATGGCACGCGTGGGCTAAGAAAAGAGTAACCCTGGAATTCCTTAGGATCACCCAGAAAAATAAAAATTGAAAGGGAGAAGGGTGTTGTGCCATGTGGCTGCCTGTGGCGAGCTTGAAGCAGGGGCACCTCAGAGTAGTCAGGCCTCCAGAGGTCTCCGGGCTCTTCTGTATAGTGGTCAGGACCGACAGTGAAACTCAGACTTCTGTTCCCCCAGGGATGACAGGCACCATACCTTGGTTTCTAAGAGTGTCCTTCAGTGTGTAACTCAGGGCCTTGTACTGGGGGGGGGGAGAGGGAGAAATGGAGCTCTGTAAAATGGATGGAAATGGAAACAAAGCCCCCTTCTAAAAATCCAGCTGTGGCTTTGTGGCTCTGAGAACTCCCACAGATGTGCTCTGCAGGTGATGCCTTGTCGGCTCTGTTGGGCGCACCCTGGGGCCCCTCGACCCTCAGCCCCCCGTTTCTTCTCACCTAATCAAATTGCCTGCTGGATTCGCTCCACTGCAGGAGGATGCAGAAGGTGCACCCAGAAGGAAACTGGAGCCTTCTAGCTTGTCACGCGTGACTTTACCTCCTTAGTGTCTTTGTCTTGTTTTTCCTCTTAGTTTGTTCACAGATCAACATCACAGCCGCCACAAAGCTGATGGAGAATGCTTAGCTAACCATGCTGATTTACTCCTGCCGAACAGTTTAATCGTGTATTCTTTCCATTTGTTGTCATTTTTTTTGTCCTTCTCCCCGACACCCTGGTAACACAGCAATGGGAACACCTAAAACATAGCCTTCCGCAACCAAGAGATGCTTTCCAAACACACATCTGGGTCCCTGGGAGTTTAACAGGGAGAGGCATGATATCCAGAGGTGAGGGGCTGTCTCACCTGGTGCCGAGTAGCATCAGTCCCTGTCATTGGGAAGATGTGACTAGAATTGCTTGCTCACCAGCAAGTGAGGAAGACCTCAGATGGGATGCTGGCGAAGCTTCTAAGGAAAAAAAAAAAAAAGATGGAGCAGGGAGAAGGACTCAAGCATTTCAGAAAGCACATAGTCGGGAAAAACTGAAGTCCATGATCTCATCTGTTGGTGAGGAGATGCTTGTCCAAGTGGTTTATACTTATCTTTGGTGAAGGAGAGACTGTCCTGGCTGCCTTCTTTTATTCCTGTCATTGACAAGTCCCCTTTCCAGAGTGTGCGATCCTTCCGGTGGGCTGTAGAATTGACACATGGAAGACTGTTATCCTAAAGATCAGGGGGCCGTTTGCTTTCTTGCTTGTCTTCTTAGCAGCTGTTTGAACTGGCCAGTTAAACTAACGGAGCCTTAGGCTTCTGCCTTGCCTACTTCACAGAATGTTTGTAGGCATAAAGGCAGTCCTCGAAAAGACTCTAAAAATCTATAAAGCACTGTGTGATTTGACGATATCCCCCAAACTTTAATTTTCTTTATAATTTTAGAAGGGGAAGTGTAGGCTGGTAAATGAAAGAAGGCATGGAGAAGGTACATTTTTATTTGGTTCAAACAGCATGTATGGTAAGACTGTACATATCGAGCTCTTTCATGCTGTGTGACCCACTTTTGATTATGTGGGATTTACTAGTGTAACAAAATAGACACCTGCAAGTGGAAGGAGACATCAGTTATAATTAAACTAATTAGAAGCTGAAATATTTTGTAATTACATTATAGTAAATGTTATTGGCTAACTTTAGAAATTGATAGTAGTAATGATTAAAAAGTCAAATTATGGCTGCTTTGCATTAACATTTATACAGTTATTCTATTTATTTAGAACTACAAAATTTCAGTGATTAAATTACTCTAATTAATTACAATTACTCAGAATTATATAACACATCCTACTCAACTTCTTCACTGGGCATAGAGAACAGTTATTTTTGTTTTAACTCATGATGTTTAGAATGTTTTTCTTTGTTTAAATATCTCATCATTCATAATATTTGATAATATTTACGGCCTTTAACAGATACTGCTTAATCTGATATTTGTATAATACAAAGTTATTGCATTTTTCCTCTTGAAGTAACACGGGAGGCGAGACACTGGTGGTTTTAGTAGCCCATGAAAGCAAGTGCCGAAGACCTCGTTAAGTCACATTCATGCATGGGCCCCCTTCCTTGTGACCTTTGCCGCAGTTGTGTTTGTAGTTTATTTGTCCCAGCGTGAGGCTCCACTGGGGCAGGGACAGATCTTCTCGGTCTTGTAGCCCCAGCTCCTCACAAGGTTCCTGGCGTTTGGAGGGGGCTCAGTGTGGGCTGGTTGAATGAGTGAGTCCAGGCCATTGCTTGTTACCCTACAAAGGGTCCACTTGTTTGAGGCTCCTAGGAGAAGTCTCTTTGTGATCAAACAGTAACACTTCCCTGTAGCAGTAGGTTTGTTCTTTCTCTGTGGACACTGTTGCTAACTTTGTACTGGATCGTTAGTTTCCTGTCCTTGTCGGATGCTAGAAAGCTTTGCCACGAATTGTGGTTGACCCTTGGTAACTGTGGAGGATTTCATGGTATACATTTTGTACAGTGGCCACTTTCCCACTTAACAATCTGTACCCTTTTCTTTATTTTACTTTACTATCCTTTTTCCTATATTGCATATTTGATGTGAGCTTTGCTATTACTGGAAATATATTTGGCAGCAAGGCAAATTATAAAAAACAGTAGTCATCTTAACTGCCCTAATGTACTGGGGGCAGTAGATAAAGGCTTAGAATTTCAAGAATGTACCGTGTTCATACAATTTCTTTCAAATCTTTGTTTTTTATTTTCATGGTGAAGAAATGATAAGAAATGGTGTTTATACTGAGATTTTTGGGTTCTGACAATGAAAGATCCTATAATTACACTGAAATTGGACTTACGATGTCTTCTTCATGTCAAGAGGCTGTGTGAGAAATGAGAAAGTTATCTGAAGAGGACTTTGCCAGAAAGATGGGGTGGTTCCTCTCCTGATCTGCTCTGTCATGCTTCCGTCTTTGGGGAGACTTGGCTAAGGGTAGACTCGTCTCTGGTTCCGTACCAAGTTTTGCTTTGTTCTCTGGTAGGTTTTAGAGACATCAATGGATGGACAACTTATTTCCCACGCTGAGGCCTTAGTCCAGCGTAGACCTGCTCAGACATTCTTTTGGCGTGATATCTCACCCATGCAGTCCCTCATTAAACCTTAAAAATAGCTCCAGCCACAACTTTCAGAGCCCATGCAGCTAGATTTGTAGCTCCAGCAGATGTAAAAGTGACCTCTTTGCCTTCTCTCTCTGGTTTTGAAACTTTCATGACCTCTCTCTGCTGGGGGCAGGGAACATTGTTTACAACGTGAAGCCTCACTTTCAGTTATCCTCATGATTATGTGACTTTCGCTATTTGCTATGTCCTCACCCTTGGCCAACACAAATATGTTATCACGTTGGACCTTCCTTAGCATAAGAAAGACTTTGGAAGGCCCCAAGATATTCTAATAAACAATAATGAGGGAAATGAGAGCACCTGCAAAAGGAAGGAAAACCTCCAACTGCAGATTAGGAGATAAGACGTAACAAAGCCATCCGCGTTCTTGTGAAGTGGTGGTCCGGTCCAAGAATGCAGAATACCATGGCCAGTTGTGCGGAATGCTTGCCCTGGAGCGCTCGTTCCAACACAAGCCGTCCTTGCCAGCCAACTCAGGAGTATTGTCTGAGCCACTGTCGCTCAGTGAGCCTCCAGGCGTTCACTTCGTGAAGCTCTGCCTGACCCCGCTCAGGAGGTGGGGAAACCAGCTCCTGGCACCATTAACCTGAAGTGAATTCTTAACGCTAAGAACAACTGTGCTACTCCCAACCCTTCTCCCTCCTTTCATTTGTATTAGCTGAGTTTCCATCCTCTGAAAAATAATCCAGTTAAACTAGAGAATCTCCCAAGTCCTGTAGCTTTCATTTGTTTTGTAGCATTGTTTCCCTACTTCCAAAGATTTGTGAACTGGTCTAGAAATCCCATTTTACCTCTTCTAGATTTTATTTTTTTCTTTAACTCCCCGTAGAAATTAGCAGGCGCTGGATTCAGACCACCCGGGATTCCAATCTTTACCTTCTGAGTTGCTTCTGAGAAGATCTGAAGCGAGTTCCCTCAACTTTCTAAGCCCCCGTGTCTTCATCTGAGGGGGAGAGGTGGTGGTGGTGGTGGAGAACATCAGTCACGTCCCTTTCCCAGGTTTGTTGTGAGGGGAACTTGAGAACGTGCAGACAGTACCTCATGTTCTTTGCATTTCTTCTTTTCCCTCCTCTTCTCCTTCCGCCTCTTCTTCTTCCTTGGCTTCTCTTTTCCTCTTCCCCTCCCTCTCTCTTCCCCCCTTGCTGCTCTCATCCTCCCTCTGCCTCTCACATCTGTTGTGAATCCAGAAGAGCTCAGTAGCAGATGGCAGATTTGAGTCCCCATTTCCCCGTCCATGTCTACCTCCTGTCACACCTCGTGAAACAAGCCTAAGGGAGGATCTGTGTCCTCTGCTATTGGCACACTCTGCCATCGCCACAGGTAACTAAGACCCCGGGTGTGCGGAGCTGTGAGGGGCTGTGAGGTGCACTCCACTTGCTTTTCCTTTCCAAATGGACAGAACAGCATTTGGTCTCATAGAAAGTCAGTCTAGGTTGAAGCAGTAACCATGCCTTTGTTCGGGAAGTTTCTTTAGGCACTCCCAGCCTCAAAGTCTTTCGCTTTTCGGAGTGGTCTCTCTTTTGGAACTATGACCATCACCATTTCGGGGAGAAGGACAGGCCGATGGAGAGGGGGACACAGGATAAAGAAGGGGAAAGGAAGGAAAAATTAAAGTTTGCACTAGCAAGGTGGTTGGTGTGATGTGAGGGTGGTTTGATAAAGAGTTTTTAGTTCAGTTTTAGGAAAGGTGTTTTTTTTGTTTGTTTGCTTGCTTGCTTGAAAACTAAACAGGTTGCATGTGCACTGACTCCCCAGGAGCAATATAATCATTATGTAATGTAAACATGTACTAATAAAAAATTAAAATTAAAAAACGGAGCCCCATCTATCATATTCTGGAATTCTGTCACTAAGAAGCCACGAAGGAAGAGCTGCAAATAAACGAAGGATGGTGAACACACACCTGCTAGCGTTTGACCTCTACTGAGGTGGATCCACTAATTCAGCTGGACAATGCTGTCGAGTGGAAGTAGTTTTCTAGGTTTTCCACTCGCTCTTTCTGTCTTCAGCCATTGACATTTGCAAAGGAAAGAAAAAGGAAAAAACCCCTTCCACTCAAGTGTATGGAAGAAACCTTGCTTGACTTTAATTCTCTTGATAAAAAAGTTCTTTTAGAAAAACTTAACTCTAACACAGGCCCTAATAGGGCTCTCTTTGTTTTGAGTACCATTACGGTGACAAGTCAAAGGAGTAAAGCAGAATCTGGCTGTTTTTCCTTAATTTGAAGCGTCCCTACGTCTTCCTGGAGCTTTGGTTCCTTTGTATAAATTAACGTGTGTTGTGAGAGGTTTCCATTTGTGTGTGTGTGTGTGTGTGTGTGTGTGTGTGTGTTACACTCCTGCTGCTTTTACCTTCTAATATCTTCTCTGTGCTGAGTCCAGGGCCTCAGCTTGATTTCCTTCTCTGCTTACTCAGGCCACTCTTTTGCTTCCTTAATCTATTTGCCAAAGTCCTGCCATAATAATCTTGTTCCCCCGAACTTTGGTGGGAACTCTTGGGCCATCTTCCAGCACCCTCAGGATAAGGTCTGCTCAAGACCTTTTCCATGTAGTCTGCTGCTGCCCACCCTGTAGGCTGCCGGCTAAGCAGCTGCCGTATTGCACCTCTTTCCTCTTCTCATGGCCTCTGTTTCTGCACATCTTGTTCCTGCTCCCCTTCATCTTTGTGTCCCCCAAGTAAGTTCTCAGTCTTCAAGACCCAGCGCAAGCACTCTGGTCAGCAAGCTATCATTTCCACTTTCACCTTGGTTTTGCCTCTGTCCTGGCTTGAGTGGACTCTTTAAGCTGTGTGCCCCAGGACAACCCAGCACAGGCTGCTTAATAATGAAACCCTTCTCCAGGACAGCGAGTACCAGCTCCCACTTGAAGGGGGCATCTAGCATCCCTCAGTGATCCAGAAATTAAAGAACTGAAGGAATGGTGAGAGGCCTCTTGAACTCCGTTCCAGTACTTTGGTCACTATCCATTTGGGCTCGAGGGTTTATATTTTCAGTTTTTCTCTGATTCCATGATTTCCTCACCCCTGTTGGCATTATCTGTTGCATTTACTCACTGTTCCAACTCCCCTTCTAAACTGTAGTCTCGCTGAAGGCAGGGCACAGTCCTCCTAACTCAGAATCCCCAGCACCTAGTCCTAGATCTGGAATACAGTGTGCAGCGTTGGGGACAGAACACGGTAGAAATGACAGTTTACTGAATTCGGATCAGTTCTGACCTTCTCACATTGGTAGCAGTGTCTCCCTTGGGAAGATTTAGTCCTGCACAGGGGCATCTGACAACAACGTCTGGAGATGGTTTTGCTTGTCATGAGTGGGTTTTTTGTGCACCCCCCCCCCCGCGAGTTATCTAGCTCCAAACACCTTACAGCCTTGGCAAAAGCTTCCTTCCCTCTGAGCTCCCTGACACTGGGATCCCATCCTGCCTTCGGCCCATGTTTCTTTGTCCTCACTTCTCTCTGCATGGTTCTGGAGAGTCTACACATCAGGACAGAGCCAATGATAAATTTCTCTTCTCTTTTTTTTTTTCCTGTGTCTCCTTAGGAGGCCACTCTCATTTCTGTCATGGTCCCTCTGAGATTAAGTTTTCTAGGATCTGAAGTTTACAGAACCGCAGGACATACTCAAGTGTTTGGGGTCTAAGTGAGGCCCAGAGCCTGGACATGTGGCCAGGCCCGGGGACATCAAAACACCCGGTAGGACATGGAAGAAGAGGCTGCCAGTCTGTTGTGTTTATGTGGAACAAGCGGGTTGCTTCCCCCACCTGAATGGCTGGTTTTGTTTTATCTTTATGTAGCCACTATTCCTCTTTTTTCCCTATAGACCAACTAAACTCATTCTTTTGTGATCTTTGTTTTGGCTTTTTTTAAAAGTTTCTTCCAAATGAACTCTTATGTTGCTGCATAATATCAAAATATTTTCTTCAAAGACAATTTCCTTTAAAAATAAACTGTTATCAGGAGAGAGGCTATGTTCACAGCTGGTAAAGGCATGATTAAATAATTACCATACAGGGAATTGAAAAGCAATTTCATAATATAGTTTTAGAATCCAAAGAGAAAATTGAAGGAAACATTCCTCTTCGTTAAGAAAACTTTTAATCAAATGAAGTGTTTGAACTCTATTTGGTTTTTGTAATTTTTTTTTTTTTGGCAACTTTCTGTAAGTGCATGTTTTACTTGGTGAAGGTTTATAAGAGGTTATCTTAATACAGTTGTAAGCTTCCTGAGAGTTTGGGTAACCTAATTACATATAAAATAGCTTTGTAAACAGTTACCCTAAGTGTTTTGATACACATGTCTTTATCTTTCCTGCCAGTCTCTGCATAACTCTTTTGTGGGGGGCAAATTATTAGTCTAAAAGGAAATAAGAGTATTTTAAGCAGAAATTCCCAACTTCTTTATACTTACAGAGTGCCATGGACTCTGATAGCCCTCACGATTATAGAAGCTGTACCTGTTTTTGAATTGGAGAAGCTGGGGTTTTACCAATGATCACAGGTAGCTCCTAGAAATCACTAAATCTCTCTGGGGCTTAGTTTACCTCCTCTGTGAACTGGGTACGACATTCCCACTTTGCAGGTTTGTATTAGGAGTCTAGTTTACCTGTGCAGTGCCCCATGACAGTTCACAGCAGCCTCAGATTGTTGTGATCGATATGACAATAGCTGTGATTCAGCCCACCGGGTGTTGGGGATTCAGAGAATGCTTGCTTTTTATATAAAGTTTTCTCTTTGATACTGCTCAGCGTCAGATCTATGAAATAAGAATTTGTAAAATGATCAGAATTTTTAAGGCCACCAAGGTACACATTCCAAGCTGAACAATAATTTTATCCCTTTGTTTTGCACCAAGTACCTGCTGATTTTTGATTCTCTGATTTTTTTAAAGCACCATAAGTTATGGAATCTTGCAAATTAGAATTATTTATATGCTTGTCATTGTTATACAATGTAAATCCCTCTAGGAAATTGTAGTTGAATAATTATAACTGCTATTCTATTATCAGCCCAAGATTTTAAATAAAATTATACCTATGAAATTTAACATTATTTAAATACATTCAGAATACCTAATTTAACCTTTGAACAGTTTGAATTTTTCATGTCAGTTTCTTTGAAAGCAGGTGATCTGCTTCATAACACTATACTAAACTCTGAAAACAATGAATAGCTTAGAAAACATTGCCCAAATTTCATGAAATGATTTAATTTTTCTGTTTTCCCTTGACTCAGAATATTTTAATATGTGTATACAGTAAAATAGCCAAACTTATTTATGCTAAAAGCACATTTTGAATTTTTAGAACAGAATTGACATATCCCAGGAAGGTGTAGTACTTGTAAGCCATTTAATCAATTTACATTATACAGTTTTTTAAAAACTTATCAGTACATTGAATGTATACAATATAATGACATTCATTGTTGGAAATTTGTACCTTTACATAATCAATCTGGGTTCTTATTTTTTACCCATTCCCCTGCCCTCCCTTCAACCCCTACATTATAGTTTTGAAATGGCTTTCCAAAGCACATTTTATTTTCACAAAAATTTGAATTTTGCTTTATTTTATTTTATTTTATTTTTTGTACTGGGGGTCAAATTTGGGTCCTCGCACTTGTGAAGCAGGTGGTGGAACCACTGAATTAAATCCCCAGCCCTTAGTTGATTTTTTTACATGTCATTTTTGAATTTCTCTTGTAAAGTTGTGTTTCTTTTACTATGAATGTAAGAGACCAAAACAATCACAAACTGGTATCTTAATTACACTTATTTTTTCCTCTTTTTTAGTAGTGCTGTATCATACCTGTTTATGAGGATTAGTTTGGAAGTACAGCAAGGACAGGCAATCCTGCACCTATCCAAGCACAACCTTATGGACACAGGGGATATTACAGATGAGATGAAGACCATTATTCAGCAAACGACTCATTCAGATCCTAAAAAATGGAAATAAAATCAGTGGCATGCAGATAAGGGGAATCAACCATCTTCAAGCTTATTGCTTTGTATTTTTGTTTTAGGTTTGAATTGAACTTCTGCACAGGATCTGATCTGGATGAAATGTCATATCTGAGACTGATCCTTATCTCCTAAACGTTTCCTTTGTTTCTCTGATTCTTTGGGCTTTACCCTCTTATTTTATTGTGAGTGGCCTAGGGCTTTGATCTTGCAATGAGCTCTGGCTTACAAGAAAAATCTTTGCTTTGGTGTGACACGCAGAAGGACATAGGTATACTCAGAAAATCTAAATAGACAAGAGGTTTCTTCTTCTGAGGTAAGGGCTGAAGGCAAATGGGGTAACTTCAGAATTTATTGTCTCCCATTACATTATGGGAAACTGAAAATTCACACGGGGATTTTAACATTAAGAACGCACACCTGTGAGAACAAGCTTGATGTACAGTATCTGTCTGTTTCTCATTTCATTCACAATAGTGTCCTGAGCTTAAGAAGTAAAATTTCTCCTTTTGTGTTACTGCAGGCATCAAATGCTTTGAGTCACATTTCTGATTCCAAATTCCTTCTTGGTTAAAAAATATTTAAAAAGTTTTGGAAGCTATACATTAATCGTGCAAATGTTAATACAGTGAGCATAAAGTTATACAGGTTTTTAGACTGAAATCATAATAAATGTCAAATGCATGATAAAAATGGAAGTTACAATTATTTTGAATGCCTATTTCATATTTCCTAGTTAAAATTTTCTTAGGGGAATACCATTTTCTGAGCCATACATTTCATTGTATCTACAATATCAGAAAACATACAAATAATAATAATAATAATAATAATAATAATAATAATAATACGTATTAGAAATGTACAGTGTTTCCCTAAAATTAGGGGGTGTCATAACAGAGTGTCTTTATTAATAACTCTACAGATGCGTGGGGGGATTTCAAAGGGTTCCCTTCTTCAGCATGGTCTATTAATAAGTTAATTATAGCATATAAATTGTGGCTTATAAAGTAGTTTTTTTCTTATTTTGTGTATTTTTAAGTAGAAAATGAGTAGTGGACCAAGTGCAGCTACGTGACTGTGTTAATGGCAAGTTCTTCATTTTGAAGTGGAAACCAATATTTTTATGTCTCTCAAACTAAAGTCAACCATGAAACTGAATTTACCTATTTAATAGATTAGTAATTAGAACGGGAAAATTTATTCAGCAACGCTGGACATCTCCTCTCTTTGACTAATAGTTTTTGTTAGATTTCAGAAAGTACAGCTGAAAAGCCAGTTTAGAAATGTATTGATTAACAACTTAAAATTCTCTGGTGAGAGAAACAGGCTCCTTCCTAAGACTACCCCCCCAGCTTTTCATTCTATCAGAGACTTGTTACATTGCTCTTTATTTATATGCTTGTACACAGACTTTTATTTTTTAAAAGTGGGATTCATCTGCTAGCTACTAACCAGGCACTGAACTTTGTCCAGTGGGTTCATAACCTGAATTCAAGTCGTAGGTAATGTTTGTAATTCTAAAAATGCCGACATTTGTCATTGTGAATTATGTTTCCTTTAGGAAATTCCTTTACCAAGGAGAGGCAGTCATTTTTGACACTAATCAGATGCCTCTGCGCTGACCCTCTGGCTGAATGAGGCCAGGCTTTCTAGGTTATTAGTATTTAAAAAGAAATAACCACTCAGTGTAGCATTTCAGTAAATAATGACCTACAAGGCCTATTAGGCATATTCCACAATTTTTCCCACCCGCAGCAATGATTAACTCCGAAAACATTACTCGGCTTTTCTTGTGTCAGCTGAGCAAGAGCTTGTAGTTCTTCATTCACATTTTTCACTTAATCCCGTGGCTTTGAATTCTTTGCCTTGTAAGTTCCTATATATAAAGATTAGAAACTGCTTCTGGCTATGCAGAATTACATGCTTTTAGATGAAATTCAATCCATTGTAAAAGGTTCTGTTCAGAGCACCACTATTGATTCCTTGTTGAGTTTGGATGACATGGAGAAGAATGTTGGTTAACTGGGAACAGAAACTGTGTTACCCAATTAAAAAAAGCTGTAGCAATAATTTTAGGAAAGAGTAGAAAAATTAAACACCAGTGAGTTTATTTAAGCCTTTTAAGGAAAGAAGGAAATACCGGAAGATAATTAGAAGCACAGGGCTAACGTCTCCTCTGGAATGTCTTTGACTTGCCTGCCTTTTATATAGGTTATCATTTTGAGGGCTGGGGATTGAAGACAAATTTTTGGTCTTTTCAGAAATGATAGACTTTTGCGATGCCCAATACTCATCTGTGTATAAAATAGGTTAAAGTAAATCTTTAGTAGTGAAGAAGAAAAAGTATTTGGGTCTCATGAGCTGTTGGAAATTGTTTTCTTCTGCTTTTTTTCCCCCCAAACATTATCAAGTTTAAAAAATTTGGAGAGTTCTTGAAAACTGGTTACTTTCTCCCAAATGATTAATCTGGCTGCACATAGTCCAGAGGGGGGACTCTTCTCTGAGATTTGAGATGAGATCTTGATTCTTGATAGCAGAGTTCCAGAGAAAGAGAAAAACTGAGCCTGGGGACGAGAGGCACTATCTACTCAACAAGTACTTCATTTATTCTTGTAGAGCACAGGCATAACTCCACAGAAAGTCTCTGGAAAATTTGTTGAAGGGTCCTTTGCACTTAAAGATAATAAATCCTTTGGGTCTCTTCATTGTATATTTTTATATCCCAATGCTCTCTTCAGCTGACAGATGAGGCAAAGCACCCCCAAAGACCCACTTTATTGTTCTCTCTGTCCTTCTCTGTCTTTCACATCTTATTTTCTTCCCAGGTGCATTTAGCAGATTTTTGTTTTGGTTTGTGTAAATGAGTTTAATCTCAAAGAAGCGGTGGCCCTCCCACTTCTGAAAGCATTCTTAATGGATAACCCTTACTTCCTTATTTCCCACCCTGCCCCCTTATAACTTTTGCTCTTCCACTGCGTTTAACATCAGTAGTGGATGGTTCTCAGAAGTCCTTCAAAGATTGGAAATGAATTTTTTTAACTGACTTGGCTGGAAGGTGCTCACATAGAAAAGATGCTGGGAAAAGAAAATGAGCAGACGTCCTAGGGAAGTGAAATAATTGCACTGGGCAAAGGGTGGTTCTGGAAGTTTCCATTCAGAGTGGGTTTCAATACTACACAGCACGAATCTCTCAGTTCCTGGCTCAGTGCCTTGTGACAGCAAGGACTTTGTAAATATTTAATCCCTTTTTCTATGTGCCTCTCCCATCCACAATCAATATTATTGACTATATGAAGATTTGGTTTTCAAAGACTCTATAAAAGAAGGGAGGAAGGAAAAAAGAAGGAAGGAGAGAAAGGAGGGAGGGAGGAAAGATGGAAGGAAGGAAAAAAAGAAAGAGAGAGAGAGAGAGAAAGAGCAAAATATAATATCCTGGCTTCATTAGCTGAGACCCAGATTTCTTGTACAGATCACACGATTGATGAGGAAACTGGAAATGTGGGGCCGAGGAAGGCTGAGTTTCATTTGTATCCAACTCCTAATTTTTAACTAGGAAGAGAACCAGCGGAGGAGAAGTTACTCTCACTGGAGTGAGGCAGAATGGTGCGCTCTGAACAGCCGGGCCTGAGACTGCTCTGCCCAGTCCCACTTCCCAGGGTGTGGCCTGTGGAAGAGCGGGATGGATTCTCCTGCAGGTCACTGTTGCCAAGTCTTTGGCTCATTCCTCTTTATGTCATTTGTATTAGATTGGAAATTTGCTTTGAAAGCACAGGAAGAAAGACTCTATATAAACCAAATGGCCATTGTTTTCGCTAATATTATTATGTCACACCCAAGCCTCAGTCCCTCCCAGACAACAATTGAACCAAAGCAATATCTGTCACATGATGCCTGAGGTCAAGTTAGTTCATCCCTACGCCTCTAGCTGAGCTTCATGGAAACCACTGGAGTAAAGCAAAAGGACTCTAATATTTCTCTGGAGGCACACGTGTAATAAAAACCCAGTGTATAGTGAGAAAGCAGAGAGCAAGAGTGTCATTCTCTTTCCACCAAAGGCGTGCATATGCTGAGATGTAGTCGTAGTCTCTGGCTGATTTATTTTTTTTTTCTTGGATGAAGTTAATAGAAAAAGGATTTTAGGTTTCCAGGTTGCTGTGAAGACAAAGGGCCTGTTCTCCAATGCACAAGGGCTTCTGTCTGTAACACGGTCACCGCTGACGCTTAGATACAGCAACAGGTTCTAGGGGATTTAATCCTGAATTGTGGTATGTCAGGGGCAAATGAGAGACTGTGAATTTCAAGCCTGTTGGAAGTATCCTAGAATGGGTAGAAGCTCATATTTTGGATTTCCCAAATGTTTTGGAGCCGTGTAACCCTCTCACTATAATACACCATCAAACCTCAAAGTTTTCATCTTCTAATACAGCGGGTATTTCTCTGGCATCGTGTTGGGTCAGGATGGGGCCATACAGACAGAATCCCTCTTCCTGGAGTTCCTATATTTTGTATTGAAATAGTCATCAGTTGACAAATAAGAAGTGTCACACTCTGAAATACGGTGTTCAGAAGATACAGCCTACCAAACAATGTTGATGAGGAGGAAAAAGAGGAAAAGAGGAAGAAAAGGAGAAAGAGAAGACAATTCAAGAAATATGGTATAATGTGGAAGCCAAGAGTAAACCAAAACTCCAGAAACCCAGGGGCCATGACAGTCATGGAAAGGAGCCAGCTCAGATCTGAGAATTCAGTGTCCCCAAAGATTCTATCTCACAAGGTGTTTGTTTCATGACTGATACAAAGCAAAAATAATCAGGAGAACCAAGGTTTGTGCAGGCCAAGGACACTGGCTTTTCATTTACATTTATACCTGCTGAGGTAACTCAGAGCTGTGATAGCCACAGACACAGGCTGGAGGGGCAATTCCCAAGGATCTGGCAAAGGGCCATGGGCAATTCATGCTCAGTGTTGCTACTTT